ACCCTAAACCCCTAAACCCTAGGGACCTCTGGCTCGGAGTCGCAGGGAGCGGTCAGAAGGGCTTGAACCCAGAGACTCCAACGCCCTTAGGGGTTTGGGTTTAGGGTTTAGGGTTTAGGGTTTAGGAATATACCTTAACCCATGTTAGGATTTAGGGTTTAGGGCTCAAAAAATATTAGGGTTGAGGGTTGAGGGCTTAAACCATTAGGGTTTTAGATGGGACTGTCCTGGTGCTTGCGTTGTGTGGTATAGATATTCTTTATTGTTACAGAAGGTTTAGGGTTTAGGATTATACTTTGAACCATACCGAAACCCGAAACGCTTACACCCGATACCTCATAATATAGGGGCCAGGTTAACTACCTATACTACTTTGGGGGTTCTTCACAATTCTAGTAGAATATTCCCCAAAACCCTATTCCAATTATTACGGCCCCTACATTGCTCTGAACTCGGAACCCTAAGCCTGTTACTTTCGGGTTCTCGGTCGCTGTGGCCCACAGCGCACCCTAAGTGAGCAAACCCCTGAAATTGAGTAGGTTCTACATCGCTTTTTTCAGGTCTGATATGAGTGCAAATGGTGTTTTCGTATAGAGCGTCATGTGGGAGATAGATAGGGTTCCCCCTGAAAGCCCGCAACCTCCTCTGCTCAAATCTCATCCAAGGTCACTACATGATCATGACTCCCTCGAAGCAGCATCGCGCCCGGACGATGCAGCAACATGCATGGAGAATCAAATCACGGCGGGAAAGTAAGAGTCTCTAGCAGCTGAACATTACGAGCAAACTCGAGCAATCCTGGCCGGAGACAAATGTCAGACAAATTGGCGCAGACGCTCGACTTCGTGCTGTACTCAATCTGCAAAGACGAATGACACTAACGGTAGTCATAGCAGTCTGACCACTAGAACGATTTCCGTGAAAAGCGTACTCGCAATAGGAGCGGTGCAGTAGGAGCCGCGCAATGGCAACATTCATTGGCTTCGTAGCCTTAATACTGTTAGCAGTTGTGGTAACAGCAGGAGCAGGAGCAGGAGCGGGAGCGGGAACGGGAGCAGGAGCAGGGGCAGTAGGAGCAGTAGTAGTGATTGTCGTCGTCGTGGTGTTCGTGGTGGCGGTGGTGGTAGTATTAGTGTTCGTCGTCGTCGTAGTAGTAGTAGTAGTCGTCGTCGTCGTCGTCGTAGTTGTACCAGCAATAGCAGCAGCAGTAGAGGTTCCGGTCGTAGTGGCCGTGGCAGTGGGAGTGGCGGTGGTAGCGGCAGTGGCAGTGGCACGCGTGGTGACGGTGGCGGTGGCGGTGGTGGTGGCGGTAGTGGTGGTCTCGGTACTGCTGATGATGGTGGTAGCGGTACTTGTAGTCGCAGTTGAAGTTGTGGTTTTAGTCGTAGTCGTAGTTGTAGCAGCAGGAGTGGTACTAGTAGCTTAGTAGAGGTTGTGGCAGCAGCAGCTGCTGCAGCAGCAGCAGCAGCAGCGGCATCAGGAGTAGGATCCGGAGCAGGAGTAGTTGCAGAAGCAGCAGCAGTATTGTGCCCGAAACTGACGACGATCACCACTGCAACGATGATCGCTGATCAAGATGAACCAGTAAGTCGGAGTAATAATGAAAGCAGAGTCAACTGGCCATACCCTAAACCCTCAACCCTCAACCCTAAACCCTAAACCTAAACCCTAAACCCCAACCCCTAAACCCTAAACCCCATACTTCCAGGTGCTTGGTCGACAAAGGGTGCCTTCACACCGCGGAGCAGCTTGATGGTGCTTGCACCCCAGGTAAACCTGACATTGGGGGGTTGGGTCAGATAGTACTATAGGGGCCTTAATAATTAGAATAGGGCTTGGGGGTATATTATACGATAATTATAATAAGGAACCCCAAAACCCGATTCTAATTATTAAGGCCCCTACATCTCTAAACCCTAAACCCTACATTATCCCTAACCCCTAAACCCTAAGTATCCTGAGCGCTTTGAAAGGGGGTCTGTCTACTCACCGACTTTCAGCTTTCAAGATGCCCAAGAGAGGATTCTAGGAGCATGGGTTTGGGGTTTAGGGTTTGGGGTATAGGGTTTAGGGTTTGGGGTTCAGGGTTTGGGGTTTAGGGTTTAGGGTCTAGGGTTTTGAGTTTCCCGCGTCCGAAGCCCAACGCTGGAAAACTTAGACCCGCAACCTTGAACCCCATACCCCAAATCGGAAAACCCCGAAACCCTAAACCCTAAATCCTACAACCCTAAGCCCGAAACCATAAACCCTGAACCCTAAAACCCTAAACCCTAAACCTGCAACCTTGAACCCCGAGCCGCAAACCGGAAACCCCGAAGCTTAAGCTCCAAGCTCGATCTTGATCCGAAGTTCAGTGAGGCTCCCCTGCTGCATCCCTCCAACGCGTGCGCCTCAGACTAAACAGGGCTTTAGGGTTTACGGTTCCTTAAATCCTAAACCCCAATCCTCATAAATCCTCCACCTTAAACCCTAAGCCCGAAGCCCTACATCTTTAAACGACACAACTCTAAACCCCAAACCCTAAACCCTAAACCCTAAACCCTAAACCCTAAACCCTAAGCCATGCTACATCCGAAAGCCTGCGCTCCCTCAACCTCAAGCCGGAAGGCCCTGAGATTGCAGCCCAGATCCGTAGAAGCTAAACCCTCAGCCTCGAGTTTAATATAGGGGCCTTAATAATTAGAATAGGATTTGGGGTATATTATACCTTAAATATAAGGAAGAAGCCCCAAATCCTATTCTAATTGTTAAGGCCCTTACATTATGGCCGAAGCGTTGGTGGTTGTAACATAAGTTCACCCGTCGCCCAAAACCCCAAACTCGTATCCTACAACCTAGACCCTGAATAACCTGCCGCTTCAGGGTTCCTTATTCTGATTTCCTTATATAAGTCCTTCAAAAAAGGTAGGTTCTTAAGGGTCCCGGGAATAGCTGAGCATCAAATGCCGGCGCCCGCTTCAGTGGGTCAGGTTGAGATTGACAACCTGAAAGGCCTCGCGCAAGAGGCCGGGAGGAGACTGCGATTTTATTCCATGCTAAGGGCCTCCCTAAACTCTAAACCCTATCATATAGGGGCCTTCATAATTACCTATACTATTTTGGGGGATCCTTATTCTCATTATAGTATAAGGGGCCCCAAAACTTCCCTATTCTAATGATTAAGGCCCCTCTACTAAACACTTATGATATCCCTTATGGTAACCCTTTGAAGGAGCCCTATTCTAATGATTAAGGCCCCTACAGTAGGGCTTCGGGGTTTCGCCTGAGGGTTTGGAGGGCCTTTGGTTTCATGGCCTGAGTCTTATCTTCAGATCCTAGACCTTAAACCCTAAACCCTAAACCCTAAACCCCTAAACCCTAAACCCTTAAACCCCTAAACCCTAAACCCTAAACCCCTAAATCCTCAAACCCCTAAACCCTAAATCCCCAAACCCCAGGGTCTCCAGGTTTTGAGGATTTTTGGTGGTCCGGAAGACAGGGCTTGGGGCTTGGGGCATGGGGTTTAGGGTTTAGGGTTCGGGGCTTGGGGTGTAGAGTTTAGGGTTTATAGTTCAGTGTTCGTCGGGTTTTGAGTTTAGGGTGTAGGTTTTCGCGTTTAGGGTTTAGAGTTCAGTGTTCGTTGCATTTAGAGTTTAGGGTGTCAGGTTTAGAGTTTAGAGTTTAGGGTTCAGAGTCTACGCAAGCAGAATCGTGCTTCATCTGTATAGAGATAGAGGCCGGCACATTCACAATCATACTCGCCACCTTGAGAGTGTAGGTAGGGCCTGGACTAAACAGTGATAGCCACCAAGCAAGCCATAAAGTACAGGGGGGTCCTTTTTCTGCTTATCTAAGCATGACGGTTTGCGGCGTATTCCTAAACCTTAAACCCTAAACCCTAAACCCTAAACCCTAAACCCGAAACCCTAAAAAACCCTAAGCCCTATGCACGGCCTGAGACTGTTGGGGATCCTTCCGAACTCCCTGGCAAAGCTCAGCCCTGGAAAGGTTCAGCAGGTGGGGTTTAGGGTTTTGGGTTTAGGGTTTAGGGGTTTTGGGTTTTGGGTTTAGGAGTTTTGGCAGTAAATAAGAGACCCTAGCACAGATCCTACACCCAGACCCCGAACCCCACACCCAATCTCCAACCCCACACCCCGTATAGCCCCACATCACTGAAGAGCCAGAATAAAGCCTACGCAAAAACCCTCATGTAAGCAACAGCTCTAAGTTGTAGTATAGAGGCTTAAATAATTACCAATACTATTGTGGAGGTTCTTTATTGTGATTATAGCATCATATACCCTAAAACCCTTTTTCTAATTATTAACGCCTCCCGTGCAGTGCACCCCCCAAAAGCCCTTCAACAGCTCGATGCCGGAGGTCGCCCAGCACTTTGGCCTCCCGACGGACTTCACCCCGACACAGCCGGACCCTTTTGGGATTTGGGCTTTGGGTTTAGGGTGAAGAAAATGAGATGTCAGCAAACTGGGGGTTTTAGGGTTTACGGGTTTAGGGTTTAGGGTTTAGGGCTTATGTGTGGGCCCTACTATCAACTTCGTAGTATACAGCTATATAGCTTTAGTATAGCTAGCTTAAGAAACACAGGTAGAACAGAGTCTTTGTTGATGGGGACTTTCTCAATGTATAGGGGTTAGTATAGGGCCTTAGCTATCAGCTTAGTAACGCTAGTTGTGTTGGTGTTTCTAACATCAGTTACTCAGATCTCTAAATCAGGGATGTTGAAGGATCTTCAGGTACCCTGAACCCCAGACCCTAACTCTAAACCCTAAGCCCTAGACTCTAAACCCTAAACCCTAGACCCTAAACCCTGAACCCTAGACCCTAACTTCACGGAGGTACTTGGGGTTTCGGGTCGGGGGGCTTAGGGCCTAAAGTAAAGCGAAAGATCTCAAGGCTTGAAGTCTGGGGCCTGGGGCCAGGGGCCTGAATGTCAGGGAAGGTCAGGGTTAAGGGTTTAGGGTTAGGAGGGGTCTGCAGCTGCAGCAATAATTGCAGCATTGTTGACAATGATGACGATGATAACGGCAGGAATGTCATCGAACAGACAAGTAGTGTCAGTGAGATGTGTCGCCGGAGAAACGTTGCGGACGTGGCGTTTATGGTTTACTTTGCCATGTGTAGGATTTTAGGCTCAAGGATCGTGTGTAGGTTTTTGGTGGATTCCGGGTCTTGCCCTTTATTTTTTACCTTTGTTTCAGGTTCTCAGACAAGTAGTACATGCTTTCAGGTCTGTGATGGTCTTCGATTTTTCCGACACCAAGCGCCACGACCAGGCTTTGTTGAGGGGCTCGGGGTCTCGGGTTTACAGAGGTACTATAGGGGCATTAATTAATAATTTACCTATACTATTTTTTTGGGGGGGTTCCTTATTATGACTATAGTATAATATACCCCAAAACCCTATTCTAATTATTAAGGCCCCTACATTAGGTTTGAGGCGTTGAGGGGATTTTAAGGCCTTGCGGCCTTGGGCTTCTGGCTTTTGGGTTCTATTGCTCGTAGGGGATTTTTGGTTTGGAGCTCCCAGAGACTCCAAAATGCTTTAACTAAGGAATATACCTGAAATTATAGTAGGATCCTGCTATAATTTAAGGTATATTCCTTAATTAAGGGATATTGGAGTGTCTGGGCTAGTGGTTTTTGGGTTTTGGTGGGTATAGAGGCAGAGGTTCGGCTTAATTAGGGTCTAAACGGTCTTGGGTTCAAGGGTGTCAAACCCCCCCAAAACACATAACAAAGGCAGCAACGCGGCCGTCAACACACCCGAAGTGATAACCCTTTCCCGCCCACTGCATTGATAGAACAAAGACTGTAACAAAGAGCAATGGCAGTTATGCCGAGACTACCATTACTGAACAGTACAGAAATTAAGCATGCTGCCGATAGGAGCCGCTAGTAATGCTGATGTTGGTCATCGTAGTCACGGTAAAGCCTTGGTGCTGACACAAGGGACGAGGGCCGCAGCTGTAACCATAATGGTGATATTGTGTTCCACAGCATCTTGAGACTGATAGTAGGGAATGTAGTCATCGTCACCTCAAGAGCAGCTCAGAACCCTAAACCCTAAGCATCATCTCCTTGCGTGTGCGGCTTAGACTCTGGCTGCGTCAGTCTCTGGCTCGATGCAAGACCCTGACTTGACGGGTTTAGGGTTTAGGGTTTAGGGCTTAGGGTTTAGGGTCTACTAGGCACCACCTATAGAAGGGCCTCAGAGTTTAGTATTTGAGCCCTTACTCCGTAGCCCTTACTAACCCATCCCTTCGTTAGCGGTTTAGAGCTGTTGTGCTTGGGGTCAACTTGAGACCGCCCACCTGCAGATGTCTAGTTCAAGCATTCCGAACCCCTCCTTGCCCGGGTTTCCGGCCACTAAACCCTAAACCCTAAACCCTAAACTGGGGGCCTTCATGCTTACCTAGGCTATTTTGGGGGGCTCCTTATTATACCTATAGCATAAGATACCCCTAAACCCTATTCTAATTATTAAGGCCCCTACATTAAGCCTGAACCTCCGGGAAGAAGCCCTAAACCCTGAACCCCTAAACCCTAAATCCTAAATCCCTAAACCCCTAGATCCCTAAAACCCTAAGCCCTAAACCCTAAACCCTAAACCCCTAAAGCCCTAAACGTCTAAAACCCTAAACCCTAAACCCTAAGAGTGATGGGCTGGCCGTATGCACTGCGAACTAACCCTCCAAAAGTTCAGTTTTGCATCGTCAACATACCCTGAGCTTTTTGTATTCAGGATGCTCCCTTTAACCCTGAGGCCCTTTAAGTGGGGTTTAGGGTTTAGGGCTTAGGGTTCAGGGTGCAGGGCTTACGGTAGCATCAGTCTATGGTAAGCCCCTAAGCAGCGTAAGAGTCAGGCGCTCCTCTTCCAGGAAGCCCCTGCCGGCGTCCGATGCTTGGATGGTTGGGGCAGTTTAGGTTTTAGGGTTGAGGGGTTTAGCGTTTGGGGTTTAGGTTTTAGGCAAACGCGAAATCCTGAACACTAAACCATGGCTGCAAGATGTTAAGGATAAGGGATGTGATAGACCGGCCGTGCTTCGTTTGGTGAGGATTTAGGATTTTGGGGTTTGGGAAAGGGTTTGGGATCGAGCTTCCTGAAACTGACTAGGTACTCCGGCTTCGCAAATGCACAGGCCCCCAAACCTAAACCCAACCCTAAACCCTAA